AACTTGAATTAGTAAAAAAATAAATAAAATTTACCAAAAATAAATAAATGATGGGTGGCGGGGATATGGTGCGGGAAGGTACGAACGTCACTTGATATTCCTTTCACTCATCTGCTTCAGTTTTTGCGTGGATTCTCAGTCTTCTTCCGCCGCCGCCGCTGCCGCCTCCTCCTCTGAATCGCTTCGGAGGTAAAGTTTTGCTGATTGCTTGTTTTGGTCGGTTTGATTGCTATTTCCTTCAAACTTGCTGCTTTTCTCTTGTGTATCTGAGTCAACATGTTAGGGTTTATGTTTTCTTTTTCTACTTTATGCTATTTTGCAATGTGAATTGGGTCATCTGTTTGCGTTTGATTGAATTTTGAATCTGCTGCTGATTTGATTGCGATAACTGGTAATCACGGTTTCGTTGATATTGGTGGAAGACAGGTTCTGCTGGAATTAGAACTGAAAGCTTGATATGTGTAATTATTTGTTTATTTGTCTTGTATCTTATTGACTTCATTAGAAGTATATAATTTCAATATTGGACCTTTTGATGGCAAATGAATCTGAGGTGTGTCGAGATTAAGGGTGCTTTCTGACTAGCTTACCTGGTTGAGGACTAGTGATCCAGTCCTGCCTTTGTTTGGTTTTGCTTTCCAGTCATGGGAAGAACTGATATGGGTCTGTCTCTTGGTCTATGTTGTGTTGATGATTTCTTTCTGTTTGATACAACATGTCATTGAGATATTACAGCTCCTCATTTCTAGCTTGTGACTAAGTGAATCAGAAATGAAAAATGGGATAAATGCATCCAATTTTCTTTCTTGCATTTTGAAAGAGGAATTTGGTGCATGTATGCCATCTTTCCCTTAATTAATATGTCAAATTTGGAAAAATGTATGACTAGGTGGTGAGGTAATTGTGCAAGTATCTGCTTGGTACACAGAACTTTTCTAAGTTGTCAACTTGTTACATTGTGGTGAAAAAATGATTGTGTGGCATGTGATAATGGATGTCTGAAAGTCTTTCACCTGTAATAGATCGGTTATCACTTTTATTGGACGACTTAGTTGACCAACATGTGCTTTTCAAAGAAACAGAATCATCTTGCTTGATAGTGAGCTACTTAAGATTGTGTTTGTAATTCTTTTTCCTATTTCTTTAGTTTGACTGCATGGGGTTTGTCCATTGTTCAAACTTATTTTTAGCTAGTTATTGTTCCTCTTCTATGCGAAACATGTTTGTTTTATTATTTGGTTACTTTTTATTTGAAATCTACAGCACTTGATTATTCTTTGATGTTAAATAACAGAGAAAATGCACCGAGCAGCGAGCATCATTCAACTTTGGTAGGTAACTAAAGTCACTGCAGGGGATGGGAGGTTGTTGTTGTTCTTCCAGGAAGCCTCATCTGCATGGGACACCCGTGTATTACTATGTTAGTCTAACATACTTTTTATGTAATTTTTTACTTACCAGTAACTATTGCGAGATTTTTTTTCTTTCTTGATGCTTGACAACTGGAGTTGTTTATGGGTAAATTGGACAACTCATTTGTCATCATCACAAGCAACAACGAGGGGGGAAAGTTAAATGAAATAAAATGAAAAGAGGAAGAAAGTGATAAAGAAATCAAGTACATTTGAACTGTCCTTTAATTTTTTATTTTTCATATTTCTGATTCATTGATGTTGTTTGTTGTAAAACCATTGGCCTTCCTATTTCCTCTCAACTGGTTTTAGAAGCTGCTTTCTGTCAGTGGTCTTTTCTCAGAAGTTTTATAAAGCCACATGAGAATTGTTTTTGGCAAAAGTTCCTGTTGAAGTGGCATATCCATCATTGTGAAGTGGCATATCCATCATGGAGCCATTATATGTTAAACTCATTGTCTGATAAACCTAGGCTTTTGGAAGGAAGAAAAATTCACCTGAATCAAGCTTGTTTAGTTCCTTGAACTTTCAGAACATTTTATTCTCTACACATTGTGTGCATGCCTGCGGAGTTCTCTACACATTCTTTTTTTTTTCTTTCTGTTTTTTGGTCATTTTGACTGAAGTATTCATGACAATATTTTTCATATATCATTCTTTGAACTGGAAAACTTCCTTTATGCAGTGTCCACCAGCTTTGGAAGAGCGTGAAGCCTTGAGATCTCATGATGTCTCAGCCTCTGCACTTGCTGCAGGAATCCTGGTTAATTTGAATCTGGAAATACCTGATACTTATAGGGCCCCTCCAGCGCCTTTGCCCTATGATATGGTTTTGGGATGTCCTCAATCAACAGATTCAGAGTCTTTCAAAGAAACTGCTAGTGGTGGCAGTTTTGAGACATTACCTGCATGTGAAGATCTTGAGGAATCAGACTGCAAAATGCAGGCTAATTCTTTGGTTCTCTCTCCAAGGAAATTAGAAATCTCTAAACTAAATGAGCCTAAGGTATCAAAAACAGAGGAAGAGGATGCTTGTCCCATTTGTCTTGAAGGTACTGTATGTCATTATTCCTTTTTTTTGTTAACAGTGAGGTGATGAGAATAACAAGCTTCCTGGCTAGGGGACATAAAAGTGAGTTTGAATTATTGTTAACAGCTAGTAGTTGATGATTTCTCTTTGGTATTTCCATGTGCAGAGTATGATGCAGAGAATCCAAAACTTATTACAAAATGTGAGCATCATTTTCACCTCTCCTGCATTTTGGAGTGGATGGAAAGAAGTGACACCTGCCCCATCTGTGATCAGGTTTGCCTCTTGCAACAGTAGCTAAAGAACATGATCGTGGCTTGCTTATTAATGCGGGGGCATGTTTTATTTACTGAACCAAACTTGCAAGCCCTGCACTGCATCATCCTAGAGGCTCTCATTAACATGCTTCTGCTTCTGCTGAACTCTAAAAATTTTCTTTTTTATTGTTACAGGAAATGATATTTGATGATACCTTGAATCATTAATTCTTTGTTCAAGATGGAAACCATGGCTGTTTGAGGGGAAAGACTTGCCAACTTAATGTGCTGATGCATGTTTGTCTTTTGTTCTGTAGCTGGTCAGATGGGTGCCCCCAGGGTAATTAACCTATATTGTAGTTATCTAAAAGATTGCAGTGTATTTATTGCTCTCATTGTTTTGTTCGATTACCTGAGTATACCAAGAGTCGACAGTCAAGTTCAGACCACATGACAACAGCTTGGTAATGAGAAAGTACACATTTTGTTGGAGGGACCCACATGCAATTAAGGTTTCCCTTCAAAAATACAAACAGCAATTACCAGAGTCTGCCTTACATGTTTTGATTTTTGGCTTGTACAGATTTCAGCCCCAAGCTTCTTCCTTGTTGTATACTCCTACATATATGTATGCATTTTTTTCTTTTCCATTGTTTTTTTTCTTTTTTTGTAAATCCTTATCTGTTTCTCATATTGGTTGGATTTATGATGGACGGTGTTCAGTGTAAGGAAAGAAAGGAATGGTCAATGGATTTGTATACTGCATTCAAATGAAATTTAGATAGAAGGCATTTTGTCTTCGTGTCACTTAATTTAGATTGATTTTCTGCAATTCGATCTTCTTCATTTGGTTCGTGTGTTTGTCTCTTTAGTCTGGAAATACCCTTTGATCTCGGGATCTCTGTGAGCACAAGAGGTGAAAGTCTTCAAGATTACAGTTGTGCTTTTGAAGCTCCCAAGTTGATGTTACGTCTAGGGAGAGGTAGGGTGATGTTTGGGCTAGAATATTTTCCAAATTTGATCCCTGAAAATGAAAAGATTGTCTTTTTTTAGTCTCTGAAAGGACCACCTGTGAGGAGGAGAATGAGTTTCAAAAATTCAACTTTCAAAGTATGCGTGGGTATGATGCAAGTCGCATTTCTGAAGGTGTCGTTAATGGAGTTGTTATTGACCTTTAATCCCTCGTTGGAACAAGATTCAAGGAGTTGTTTAACGTCAAAGTCTTTGCCTAACCCAAGTATACTAAGGAGGCCAGATTGCAAATTTCAACCACTACCGAGGCAGGTAGGTCCCTTGGATATATCTCTTGCATCCTAATGATGCTGCTAATACCAAAACAAACGAATTCAAATCTTGTTTTTGAAAAATGTCTGCTCTTCTGCACACCAACAGTTCCTAAATGAAAACAAGGATCCAATGAGTCCCTTAATTTCAAATCCGTTACTATACCTGAGACTTTTAAGTTAAAATTTTAAATTTAAATATTGGAGATAGATCAAAAGGATATTAAATGGTCTAATCTTTAGTTTAGTTGGCTAAATTGATTAAAATGAATACATATAACTACAAATTATCTACTATGCACTTCAAAGGTGGGTATGATGTATTGCTTTGCCCTTGAACTAAGGGGTTATTTAAAATGGTAGTTTAAAATTAGTAGTTAATAATTTTATTTAATTTAATAATTAATAATAATAATAATTTATTATATTAAATAAAATTATTAATTATTAATTTCAAATTGTTATATTAAACATTTGCTTAAAAACCTAAATAAAAAAACCAATTACTTAAGTAATTCAGTAGTAATCTCTTTCCGTTGAAAGTAAAAGATACTAAATTTAAGTCGCATGATATGCGGGTAGGGACCGTAGGGTGAGATAAAGAATAAGAAAGGATTGTTTCTTGTTGTACAACCAATAAAGAAAAGAAAAGAAAAAAGAAAAAAGAAAAAAGAAAAACCTTAGTAGAAAAGGATTACCTTTATGTTCCGGAGCGCCTGGTAATTCCTCCTTTTAGTTGATCACGGACTGGGTTGGTGCGTTCAAAGTTCAAACAACAACCGAACCCTTAACGCCTTCTGAATATAATAGTAGCTG